CCTGACCCAACTGAATTGATACAAGTGGAAGGTGCTGTCTGGCTAAAAAGATACCCAGGATCAAGTCACTCATCATTAGTGCTGGGTCTCAGCCAAGAAGAAATTTATCTGAGGTTCAGAAATTATACCATTTTTGTTATTCTGCATATTTCCGGGGTGCAGAGGACTGATGTAAATTATTCATTACTTTTACAAACAAGGTAGCAAATATAATTAAATTTATAGAAAAATAACAATGTACATTATTGATAGTTGGACTAATGTCTGTATCTTTTTTGTTGTTGTTACAATGTTTCGGTCATTTTTCTCTGGTCTTTTTCAGATATTTATCAATCCAGGTGATCTTCAGTGAATTTGTCTGAATTTCTGGGATGAGGAATTATCATTATTTACACTATTTATATTTAGACTATTGTCCTCATCTTTGTTGTTGTTAACACAATGTTTTCATGGCCGTAAACATTTTGATCACAAAAACAAAGATGAGGACAATAGTCTGAATACAGATAGTGTGAATAATCATCAAGGAATTTTGAAATACAAATCCATGTGTACACAGTCATGTCTTTTTGTTGAGGTAGGATTTGGATTAATTTTGCACAATCTTGTGTGTTTGTTGGGGTCTTGTATTGGGTGAACATACTGGTCCCTAGACTAACTGCGCAATAGTAAAATACCGTAATACTAAATATAAACAGTCTTATATATATAATTAAAGGAAGTAATCCTCAACTTTTATTTCTGCAAAGAACTGATGTTTAACTATTTCAAGTTCAGGGCCAGATGGTCAAGTGGTCAGAATGGTTGGTAAGAATTTGAAAAAAAATGGTCATGTGGCTAGAATGGTAGGTAAAAAGTTGGAAAAAATATTCACTTTAGAAGATCGACATACCTTGGATTAATATCAAGTGAAGGTGATGGAAACAGGGTTGAATTGTCCTCTTCATATTCAAAGGGATAATCCTCATTAATTATTTCACCTGTAAAAAGAAATATGCATAAGTGACAGGGGATATGTGTGGTAGATTGAGCGATTCATTCATTTTCCTACAACTTACCAACCCTTTGCAGGTTATTTAAAGCCAGAAAATATGAAAATAAAGAAGTGGATTAATATCTTTCTCAAAGGGTATTTACACATAAGGGAATATAACAAACCCAACTGGAATTGGAACTTGGCTCTTCAATTTCCAATTCTGAGCCATTATCCATTACACTACTCACACTTACAAGCATACTACATCTGGTATTCCCAAGCTGTCATCCATATAAGTACTGACCAGACCTGATGTTGCTTAACTTTTGGTGATTGAACAGTGTTTCAACATGATGTGACTGTAAGCAGGTGTGCAGTAGAATATATTGTCAAATCCTGCTCAAGATGGTTTGCATTCACTTTCAAATATTACTCTTGGGAAAGACATGAATTCATGTTTTCTCTCCCAATCCACCTATGAATAAAATAGTAGGGTAGACTGCTCTTTAGCCTTAGCGGGGCAGCCAATCATGTGGCCATCTTGGTTTGAGTTACCTATTTGATTTACCTCTCATGGCTAAACTGAGAGCAGCACAAGCAGTTTCTCTGATGGCAAAAGGTTTGATTCCTGTTGAGTGGCACAATATTTCTTTAGCAGGACATCTTGATGATCAAGTCTAGTTTTATTAACTGCACTGTCTAAAAAAATAAAAATAAATGGGATAACAAACTCAATCATGTATACCCATGGGAAATAATAAAATTTAAACAATCTATTTAAAAATTGCTGTTATGTGTACGGGTATAAAACAAAAGCTAGCAGATATAGATTTGTGGAAGCCTTGACAAGAGATCTATCATTTAAACCTTGCTCTATCAAGATGGCCTCCCATAGACAAAATGTTAGTGGCACATTTTGGCTATAGAAGTAGTTTCACCAATGGAAAAAAGGGATACAGGTTCAATTCCTGTCAGAAGGCACATTTTTTTTGTTTGATTTCTTGATCTAGGATGGTTGCTATTAATTTCACTATTTCAGAAAATTAACATGTTGAAAATACATGTTGATACCACCTACTCTTGAAACAATTCTTAGTACCACCAATATAGAACTTTTCAACTGTCGGATTATCTATTGCAGAGAGAGTACAAAGATACAAAGAGAATGTATTGTCCTTTACTAATAATACTTATAGAAATAATACATCACTTTCTAAATATTTTTTGAGTTTGAAAGATGATAATAAAACTCCTAAGTTGAAATGGAAAATTTTAAAAATGGCTAGGAAATGTAGATCCTTATATGAACCCTGTTTTCTGTGATTATATGAAAAACTGGAAATTATCAGGCTCTTTGATAAGAATGCTTTATTAAACCAAATATCCGAGTTAACAGTAAATTGTAAACCTTTTACTTAAAATTCAGTTAAATTGATTGGTTAGTGTTATTAACATCGTATATAAAGAATCTTGAGTCAACAGTTGCATATTAATTTACCAAGTAATTCTATATGTTTAAATTATTTGCTGGTTTCTTAAAGAAGCTATCTATTTATCAACTATAAAACATTTTTATGTAGGAAACTCACAATGCATATAACTTGTTTAGCATTTGGTTAAATTACCACTCTACCTCATTTTTTCTTAGGAAATGGCATTGTTTGTCTGGTGTGTAAAATATGTATCTGTTAAAATCCGCTCCTGTTTAACATCTGTGCTGCCATCTACTGATCATGACCCATTTATGAAAAATAGTTTCTTAATTTTTGCTTCTTCGCTTAGTTTAAATTTAACGTAGGTCATATTCAATTGGTTAATCAGAGTAAAGACCACAAATTTTATAATCCCCACTTCTTTTCTAAAAAGAGGTTGTATTTTGCTTTTAAATCTAAATCATTCACTCGTCAGTAATTTACAATCGTCTGAAGAGATGCATTGATATGCATTGAAACATGACTGCAATTCTGTAGTGATTTTGACATGTTTTTGATGTAATATCCTAAAATAAATAATATTGCTCTACTTTGTATTGAGCCCTCTTTTAATTAAATGTTAAAAATGTTGAATTGTACTCAATTCATTCTCATCTTACCTTGATATATATATATATATATATATATATATATATATATATATATATATATATATAAACTATATATATATAAACTTATACAAGTTTGGGTAAATATTTATTTCTGCTTTTGATTTTGGGATTCTTTGCTTTGTTTTAGGTTCATATTTGAAAATATATTTTCCAGTGTTAGACAACTTTAGGCTATAGTTAGCTATTATCATTTTTTGTTAAGTCATCAGTTCCATTTTCAAATATCTTGTTTTACATGTGCATTTGCAGATGTCAAGTCTCACATAACACTCCTATTTCTATACTTATTGAAAGATATTTAATATATCAGATCCTAAATCGAATGTCATTTTATAGAAACTATCTCACATGTTGTCTATTGTGGCATGTGGGGACTTCCTTACTTTTCTCAGTTCAGCAGCAGCAGCAATGAAAATAATCAGCAGGGTAAAACCGGAAGTCCCAGAAGTCATAAAAGCCTTGATAGAGCCCTATTTTCTGAAGGGCGACACACAACCCTTGCTGCAGAAGACGAGGCCTGTCCTGGTAGCTTGAATTTAGACTCGTTGCTCCTCCTGTGGAAACTGATGGAGAAATTTCTCTTCAAGACACCTACCAAAGGAAAAACAACACACAACCCATTGCTGCAGACATCGAGGACTGTCTTGCAGTTTCACTTAGATTTCTTGTTCCTCCCATGGGAACTAGTGAAGAAATCTCTCTCAGTAAAAAGAATTACTCAAGAACTTTGTTAACTGGGAAGCCTCATTTTTTTCCCCACAAAATACTACTAGTTTGCACTCTCTTTCAATCAGAAATAAAAGATGTTGAACAGTTATTTCAAACCTTGTGTTTTGTTCATTCCACTCTTACTGCCAAGCACACAAATACACATAAAAGCAGGAAAAATTCCCACAATTTTATTCATGTTGGGTTGTTTGTTTTTATGCTAAATGCTTCTCATAGTCATAGTCATTTTTTGCAGTTAACATGATGCAATACCTTTCTGTTACTGTTAAGGATTTTTCTGATTGTTTTTTCCTTTGTTTTGGTTGGTGACATGTTATTTAATTGAAATATTGTTAAATAAATGACATGTTAAATGATATGACAATGTGATAATTGTGAAACCAATATATGTGTTGCTTGAGTTACTATTTTCATAGAAGCTTTCACAAATTTTATAGCATTGACAGTACAAGATTGAGCCTACAAAATCCACAAGTCCAAAAATCAGACATTGCCAATGATACTAATATCAAAAACACAAAATCCATAATCTTACCCATCAAAACTCTACAAAATTTGATAATAAAACACTAGGGTCTTTACAACCACCTCCAAGACAATCAGAGATATAGCCAGCAAGAAAAATTAGATGCAGCACCATTTCAGATGCCAAGATTTATGAAATAATATGACTGTAATGTAGAAAAAGTTACACTGGTGAGACAGCATAAAAGAGAATTTGGTGCCTAAATACACACACACATATATATATATATATATATATATATATTGTCATCCACGGGCAGACTGTTTCGCTGTATCACAGCTCATCAGTGTGGCTAGATGTCCGGTTGCCTCTAGCTAGGATTGAAACCTGACTGAATTAGCATCAGTCAGGGATTCTACCATTACGCCGTTGGTGCAGGGATGAAGGTGAATTTAAGCGTATTTATTTTTAGAAAAACACACAGTGACTGAGAGAACTCAATTCAATTAACCGAAGAGTCTTGCATTATTAGCAGTAATAGGCACTGTTAACAAACCCACACTTCCTCCCCAGATAGCTCGAACGAAATAAATTTTTCAGGAGCATATATATATATATGCAGTGAATATAGAAAAATAAAGTCTATAAATATAATCTTACATGATCAGGGAAAATGAGTTTTACAAAAGAATATCTCAAAATCTGATTTATTGATATGTGGATGAACTAAGCAGGGTTTTTGGTCTTTATTGATGTCCTACTCACTCGAACTTAGTAGTAAGCATAGAAAGCATGTAACTTTTTGAACAGTGACTATTTTAATGTAAAAAAATAAACTTGTTTCTTTCAAAACTTAAATAGTTTGTGTAATTTAATTATGCAATTTATATTATTGGAATATGACAGGAATTTTTTTTGGTTATTAGTTCTCAACAATAAAAGAATTTGAAAGATTTTTGGTTTCATGTTTGTAAAATCACTGACAAAAATAGACCAAAATTGAGAGTAAAAATGCTGATCCCGGCACTCACTCTCAAAGACATTGACATCATCCGCAACATTATCATTTTCCTCTTCTAAATGGCAGGTTTTCATAAATTCACCAAAAGTCTCATTGTTCTCAAATAATTCTTCATAGGTACCAATTCCTGATATTCTACCATTTGTAATGACAATAATGTTGTCCATTTGAGGTAGCCAGTGGATACCATGAGTGACAAGGATACGTGTCTGAAAGACAAGAAATAAATAAAATTTCAAATAAAGTAAAAATGAAAAGTGAGTCCCACATTGACTGGTGTATCAGGTATTAATGAATGAGGAATAACTAAAACAGAGGTTGAAAATGAAATGGTAATCTTTATAACATCAACAAAGCAAAATACTCGCCAGCAGCATGAAGTAGGTAAACCACTGCTGATGGAATACTTAGACAGCATATTACCACCACTTAAAATAGTGTCCAACATATTGATAAGGATTGGGACACACCCATTAGTGTTCATAAGTATGGTATATAACAAAGTAATCTAAAAAAAAAAATTTAAAGAAAAAAAATTCCACTATAACATATTTTTAATTAAGTTAAACCAGAATCTAAGCTTTTTTGTTAAGTAGAAAATTACTTGAAATATGGTTTTAAATATTTAAAAATAATTTTAAGTATAATTGTAAATGTAATTGGAAACATAATTTAAAATATAATTTTAAATATACTTTATAACAAGCCCAAAGTTAAGATTAAGGTTTTTATTTTTTCTCCCGTCAAAGGACAATATAGAAAAACTTTAAATATGTTTGGAAAATACAGAAAAACTTATAATTTTCAAGAAAATATTATATTTCTATTTTATATTAAATTTTTTATCTTTATTTCTTTTTGTTTAATCAAGGGACAAATTTTGCAGTCATCTTGAAGGATGAAATTTTTATTCTTTTTTCATAACATAAATACCTTTTTCCTAAATTTTATCTTATTTTTTACTTATGTCCAAATGTTTATTCACACCAATTTCTAGATTAAATGGATTAACCAGTTATTTAAATTTTGATTTTTTCCAGCCTACCCAATGTTATTCCAGATCTCCCACAAATTTTGAATGAATTTTTCAACCTACCTTTTTATTTCAACCAACCATCTATTCCAGATACAATAGAAACAAAAATATATACTGAAAAGAATAAAAATGCTTATGCAGTGATCTCCCCTTATCTGCAATTTCAGTTACATGCAAACCACAGAAATGAACTATTCTTAAGTTTTACTTAATAATAGTCTCAAAGTGCAGGACTAGTGATGTTGGTAATTTGGATATCCAAGAAAAAGAAGCTAACAGGTGCTTACTTTAATTAAAAGTTAAAAGTTCTTAATTTAATAGAGAAAAAACTGCATTTTGAGATCTACTGTAAGAACAAAACTTCTGTCACATATGTTTGTGGAATCATCCCACTTGTCTGTCAAAGATCTTCTGCTAATGACCACTAGATGGATTTTTCAATAGAGTAGATAAATAAAACATACAACAGTCTCTCTTCTTTTTACATTTTTACTCACAGGATGCCCTAGTGATAGGATGTATCTGGTTCCCTATGAGACACTGTTCCCAGCAAACTTCAAGTTATATTGAAGAAAACACAAAAATTTCACAGTGTTCCTATTTGAATTTTCTGATGAATCTTAATTCTTAAGTTAATGATTGAATAAGACATAGTAAGTTCTACAACAATAAAATACCTGTAGAAATTCCCCTATCACATTGTCAAGTATTTGAGCCTAACAACTTTAACAAAATATTCCAATGACAATCATAAATATCGATGCTGGTCATTATATTAAGAAGTAAGGGGATACAAATGAAAAGATTTGAAATTGACAACTTTTTCTATTTCAGTAAAACAGCCATTAAAACTTCTATCTACCCTTGTTTGTTTCTTTCAGTTGTATGTATTTTCTATGCAATCAAAATGGAATAGTCCATTATTTATGAGGTATTGGCAGGAGACATTAAACACTTCTATCTACCCTTCTTTCTTTTGTCAATTGACTTACTCAGTTGCCATTGTTTGATACTGTGTGCCTGAAAAATGGTATTTTTTATCACAGCAAGTAAATATGACTACTTTTCATTCTTTTGGCTCAGGGAGGTTCAAATAATTTTAAGCCCAAGTTTCAGGGGGCCATCCCTCCAAGTAGTACCTCTCTTTCGGGAAAGAGCTGGGTTTATTGCCCAGTGTCTGAGGCATCCCAAAAAGGGAAGTGCCAAGGGGGCTTGGTCAACTTTTACATGGTATTGCTGTTGAACCCATTTCAAAACTCAACCTTATTGGTAGCGATGTGGGCACGCTGAAAATGCCATCGCTTCTTGGCCTTTTAGTTGGGATCAAAGTGTAGCATATGTTCTTATCAGCTTAATCTGATTCTCTGTCTTCACTTCTTTCTTTCATTAGTGTCTTTTCACCTCTTTCCACATGATCAAAATGGAATAGTCCATTATTTATGAGGTACTGACAGGATGTAATCATTGCACAAACTAAAAAAAGGAGAGACAAGTGCAATTGTAATAGGATTGTTTTATCAAAGGAATTTCTTATTTATATAACTTGTTTTATTTTCTTGCTTACAAATGATTCAAATGGAACTTACCTTGTTCTTCAAAAGTCCATCCTTACTGAGAACTTTTCCAAATATATGCTTGCCAACATGAGAGTCAACTGCACTGAGAGGGTCATCTAACAGGTATATGTCGGCATTATAATACACTGCTCTAGCTAGAGAGACTCTCTGCTTTTGGCCACCACTTAGATTTATGCCCTATTATTAAGGAAGAAGAAAAAAACTTCATTGACACAAGTAAAATCTGTAATTATTCAAACCAATCTCTAGAAGCAAATGGGTCAATTTGCCCCTCAGTCCAAACTCTACCATAACAATGCATGCAAATATATATTTCTTTAATCATTTTACTCCAAACAAGGTGATAAAGCAACTAAGATGCAAGAAGCAACTGAAAGAAACTTGGAAAATATTATTGAGTAGAAAGGACAATAAAAGAACAAGTTTAAAAGGTAGACGATGGCTATTAACATTGCATTTAAATTTTTGAAGATCATAGTTGATATGGAAGCAAGAAGCTGAAAGAGATTTCCATAGGTGAGAATTGCAAGAGAAGAAATTATTAGAAGAGAATTTAAATTTGCATCTAGAAGAAGTAAAAGGATGAGACTTAGCTGCCATGAAAATCGCCACAAAACAATTACCATGAAAATATTCATAGAAAAAGGTAATGGGAAGTGGAAAAGGGATTGAAACTGAGCTGCCAAGTCAGGACTGATAACATTGCAGATTTTTCTTTGGATTTTATCAAGAATCACTACATACATAGTGGAAACACCATACCAGATGTCGCAACAATATTCAATTCAAATATGTTCCCCACTTCGCAACAATATTCAATTCAAATATGTTCCCCACTTCCTTCTACAGCGTACAATGTTTTCTAAATTATGCAGAAATGAAAATAACACTGACATCTCATTTAAACAGATATATTTACCAAAATTACACAAAAATATCTTGAAATAATAGAGTAAATTTATTCAATAAAATCGCCATTGGCTTCAACCATGACTTTAGCATCTTGTGTAACTCTTCTGGATGGACTCCTTGTTTAAGCTGGTAAATGCTGCCATAATCCTTGCCTCCAGTTCATCTTTGGTGTTGCAATGAGTGTTATTGGTCTCTCGCTCAGCTGTGACTTACACATAATAATCAAGGTGGTTGCAGCCTGGGGAGTTAGGTGGCCAGATGTAAGTGGTGATGGGGTTGCAGAAATTGTCTGACAGCCATGGCTGGGTTCTCATGTTTGGGTGGCATGGTGCAGAGTTCTGTTGCCAGACATAGAGTCTTCCAGCAGCCACTCTCTTGACCCAGAGCAGCACTACCTCCTCAAGTCACTTGGTGCAGGCCTCATGTTGAGTCTGAGGCCCTGTGGGAAGATGAATGCCATCACTAGGGATCACTTCAAACATCATGATGTTGACTGGATATATCATTCAAATCATTCTGAATCCTCTACACTGTCCTCGGATTGACACCCAAACACTCACTTTCAAACTTCTGGCAGAATGAATTGCATCATGGTGCTCTTTTACTCACAGACGGTGCCCAACTGACCCTACTATACTGTGCAGTTGACAAAATCAAAAATAAAGAACATGCATGCATGAATTTAAAAATATAAAATGGTGACAATTTACTCATCGCACCCTGTATACTAAATATCCAGTGGATCAAACCAATCAAATCACTGTATTTTTATGATCATTTTTTTGGTTTGATAGTTTCTAGGTTTACCTATCAAGAAAGATTCTTTTTCCCTAGGCATCAAGCACCATTAGAAGACTGTAGAATGAATTGGATGAAATAGTCAAAAATAAATAAACAGGAAAAAAAGAATAAGTTTAATAAACAAAGCCAACCTTGAAATGGTAATGACACATTTCTAAGTTTGAATGACAAGAAGAAAATATAGACTTTGTATTTGTTATGATAAGACATAAAAATGAATATTTACTATTTAATTAATATTTGCCATTTGAAAACTTAAAGAAAAGATAAAAATATTGGATGTTTTTTAACCTTTTCTCCGATTTCAGTTTGATCTCCCCCTTCAAAGAGTTCAAGATCAGACTTCAAAGCACAGGCTTCAATTACAGAATCATATAAAAAGGAATCTTCATCTTTTCCAAAAAGGATGTTATCTTTCAGTGTTGCATTCTGGATCCAGGCTTCCTGGGAGACATAAGCAATGGAACCCTAGGAAAGAAAAAAAAATTTAATCTCTTGAATTCATATTTTTTAAATATATTTCCTTAAATTATATTCAATGAAATTTTAAATTAAGAGTTGAGATTTAAAAGAAACAAATTTAAATATCTTACACTAAATAAAACAGAAAATTAATTAAAATGATCTCTGCAGATACTCAAATCTAGAATCTTCTAGAAGAAATTATATTGTCAGTGTTTTGTGTATGTACTATGAAAATTAGTAGCCATATACATAGAGTTGATTTTTTTCCAGATTAACTACTGAATTACTTCTGTCTGCAAGGATCTTTGATACCCAGACTGAGAAACTTCTTTAGGAGAGAAAGGAAACTACAAAATCAACTCTCCACAGAAGAAGGTTAAGACAAATACATTAGTCATAATTAAAATAATAATAAAGATGTATGTAAGTTGAATAACATAAAATGACAATGATTTATTTCAGAATTATGGGCAATAACTTTTTCCAAATCTATTATAATTAGCAAAAACTATGTGTGTCCCATGAGAGCTGTTACATTTGCATACACATTTCATATACTAAATGTAACAAATATTATGGGACAAAAGTATTGTACATCAAAATCAAGCATAGCAGATCATGTATGGAAGGAAAGTGAAGCATATTCCCCACCCATACAACATGGTAGAAATAAAAGACATTAAACTATGATGAAAACTTTAGAAACTGATCAAAGTTGCATATTCAGCATGCATCAGGTATTTCTTGTGCTACAAATAGAAGATGGCCTGGCATCATTGATTAACCAGCAGTTATGCTATGTCAAAGACTCGGTGAAGACTCCAACAACCAACTGTGGATGTGATGGCCAATACAAACATAAAAAACCAACTACTTCTTGTTATCGAGTCATTACACTACACCCATCCAGTATTGCACACAGAGCTTTGCCTGGGCTGTTAAGCATTAATGGCAATGTTGGTTGATTTTACGATATACCAACCATTACTGCTGAGTGGTGAGTTTAATCATCACTATTCAGTATTAATGGTAACTGACATATAGAAGAAAATAAGTAACTACCAACAAGGTTTGAGCTTGACACTCTGGACTTATGAATATATGTTTTCTGCCAGGTGCATAAATAGCGGTGTCAGGCTACTGACTGCAGTGACTATTGAGTGGAACTATCCAGTCGAATTAGTGTGAATTATTGTGCATCAATGATTTGGCTTTTAATTTAGAATTTACCAGACATTAAACCGAGCCGTGCTACTAACAAAGTATTCACTGAAATGGTTAATTATCTTTGGTTGACTTTTACTTCTTTGTTCTTCTTAAGTATTTATTTGCGGTTCTAATTAAATACTGTTTATTTTAACATTGAAGTCATGTGTTATACTTCATTATTAATGGCCACTGTATGTCACTAAAGTAACATTGGTTTATTTTACAATATACCAACCATTACTGCTGAGCAGCGAGTTTAATCCTCACTATTCAGTATCACTGGTTAGGTTAGTTGATTTTAAAATGTACCATCCATTATTACTGATTACTGTGTTTAATACTCACTATTCAGGATGAATCGTTAGGTTGGTAGATTTTACAACACACCATCCATTACTGTTGATTAGGGAGTTTAATCCTCCTATTGAGTATTAACAGGTTAGTTGATTTTACAATATGCCGACCATTAAAACTGAGTAGTGGGATTAATCCTCACTACTCAATATTAATGGGTAGGATGGTTGATTTTACAATATGCCTACCATTAAATCTGAGTAGTGGGATTAATCCTCACTACTCAATATTAATGGGTAGGATGGTTGATTTTACAATATGCAAACCATTAAAACTGAGTAGTGATATTAATCCTCACTACTCAGTATTAATGGGTAGGATGATTGATCTTACAATATATCAACCATTACTACTGAGTAGTGTGTTTAATCCTCTCTATTTGGTACTAATGGTTAGTTTACACTTGAGTGAATATGAATTGTTCAAAAACAGGTCCCTTAGTGTGTGTGTGTGTGTGTGTGTGTGTGGAGGGGTGGTCTTATTCCTCTACAGAAGATGTATAAGGCATAAGCAAAGCTTCACCAATAGTGTAAGCTGTCAGTCTGAACAGATAAAATGCTTAATACTTCAGAAAAACAAATCAATTGCCGGCTTTATAGAGCAAGCTTTTTTTAAATCTCTAAAAAAAAAAGTCAACCAAAAAAAATTGTCTTACATTCCGGTATACACTTCCAGATGTTTTGTTCATTTCTCCCAAGATGGCAGAAATAAGAGATGATTTGCCACTGCCAACAGGTCCCACAATGGCTACAAGTTGACCTTTGCCAATTTTAAATGAGATACTGCAAGAAAATGAAAAAAAAAAAAGTTAGGATAAACAAATCAATAATCTGCTTATGTTGGACTGGGATTTTCAAACTAGCTTCAAAGACATTCCTAACCTGTAGCAAGTTGAAATATTTATAAATGAATTGCCTACTTTTCTCATCTGCAGTTAATAGATTATTTTGTTAGAGGATGTTTTTTTAATCATCTCAAGCAAGGCAATAAAGCCACCAAGATGCAAGGGGTTACTGAGTGTTAGAGAATATGAGAAAATAAAAACAATATTAAGGAGAGAAGAAAATAAAGAACAAGAATTAAGAAGACAGAAGATAAAAATTGACATTGCAATTAAAATTTTGAAGATCAATGACAGTAAGAAGAGAATTCTACAAGTGAGGAGTGCAATAGAGAAAACTGTTAGCATAGAAATTATGGTTAAATGTAGTCATTTCAACTGCAAAATGATGAGACCTTGCTGCCAATCCAGTACTGCGCTTAAATTCATAAAGTCTAGGTACCATAGAGGGAAGTTCATCAGAACAATTACCATAAAATTATTTATAGAAAAGGCACAGGGAAGCTACATTATGGTGGTGGGAAAATGTCTGAAGCCAAGATGTCAGGTCAGAACCAATAACATTGCAGATTCTTCTTTGGATTTTATCAAAAATCACTAAGTATATAGCAGGAATACCAGACCAGATATGGCAGCAATATTCAAAGCATAGTGATGTAAGATTGATTCTGGAGAGAAAAATTGTCTAACCCAATAAAGTGAACCAACTTTCCTAGTAGCAGGCCTAGCAATTGATTCAATATAATCTTTCCATTTCATGTCAGCTGAGAATGTTAGCCTGAGAGGGTACAATAAGTCACTCTCCTGAAGGTTAGCATCAGTCATATTGAAATCAGAATGGGGTCACTGAAATAGAGAGAAGTTTTGTTTTGAATGTGTAATGGTTTTTCTTCTTATTGACTGGGAATCTGCAAATGAGTAGGCGTCTTCCAGCACTGGAGGGCAAAAGAATTGGCAGCACCAAAATCAAACACTAAACCCAGAGGAACACCACATTTAAGGGACAAACGTAGCCGAGACATGGGAAATAAGAAAGAACAAATGAATTTTAGATGGCACTGGGTAACACTCCTACTTTGACTTAGAACCAAATTCTCAGTAACACTTTGTAATTACATCATATGCTCAGCACAACACTGTTATTTATTTCCATTAAATACAGACAATTTAGCATGAGGCCAAAAGAGGGATGAGGAAGGCTGGTCTTCAACTGTCCTATATTTAACTTAGCTAAACTCAGATGCTGATCAAAACATAATTCCCTTAGCAGAAATACAGACAGAGCAGCCAACCGCTACTGATGATTGGTCAGAGATGATTATTAGTGTTCTGTCTCTGCAGAATGCACATGGCAGAACAGAGCCATTACAAATCCTGGAATGTCTGGTTATAAAGAAGAAATGTGTCTACCAGCTCCCACATGAGATATTCAGGATGGTGAGCTGAGTGGTTTTAACTATGCAAAGGATTTATTTTTAGGCTCTTATCTGGAAAGAGATAGAATTTGGCAGTATACATTAGTCTATTGCCCCACTCATAGCAGGATTGCTGTTTGTTATCAATGATTGTTGTACATGTTACTCAGTGACATTTCAAATTTGTTTGTCCTTGTTCGTGTTTCCAGTGTCTTGGCTGTGTTTCTCAAGTGCATATACAGGAGAGGATGGCTGGTGCAGACCCAAGAACATCTGCTTACAAAAAAATATGGTTGCAGCAGTGGGCTTAGCAGTGCCTAGAATTTATTTATACAAATGATTCATGTTGTACATAGCAAAATTACCGATGTTTCTGCACTCAATATAATCAAACGAATTTTTGTCCAGTCAGTCAGTGAGTTGCCAATATTACTATTGTATGAAATGTTATGATTATGATTTCCTTTTTGTTTGTCCTCGCTTTTTGTGTCCCAGTTATGTTCGACCTTCATTTGCACTGTTTCTGTGTGGAATTCTTTATCACCTCAGCAGTGGATATGTCTCTGTTTTGTTTTGTTTGTCGCTGATGCTGCTCTTTATTCATCCCTCCTCATTTGTGTCCCAACAGCTGAAAAGCAACTTTCAAGATGGCTGGGAAATGGATTGGCCAAAAATACAAAGAATAAATTCAATTGTCCAAGCAAATTTGGAAATTAAAATCACTGATGTATTAACATGACTATATGATTTCCTATTCACAACTCTATTGCTGTTTCCATGGCAAATGTTCAGATGAGTTCAATACTTTAGTTCCATATGTTCAGACCTTTACAACAAGGCTATGTCATGCTACTTCCACAAACTCAAATCACCCTTATTTCCCCTGTGTTCCACATGTAAGGAAAACATTTCACTCAGCTTTTTTCAAGAACTGCTACATTGTGGGACAGACTCCCATGTAGATGCTTCCTTGAACACTACAATCTCAACCTCTTCATGTCAAGGATCAATCATTATCTAACTTCCTTATCCTCATAACTTCCTGCTTTCATTCATATCACACACCTCATTCACCATAATCATTCCAGCAGTAA